GACCAGTTCACACCACTGCAATCCATTGCGTTCCACTGCAGTGTGATGAAAAAAAAGTAGAGCATGCTCTACTTTCTTTCAGCGCAACATGACGCAGCGCGTCAAAAACAGTTGTAAGAACAGAATAAAGAAAATACATAGAGGTTTGTCCACTCAGGACATGTACAGGTGAAACTCGAATAATTAGAATATCGTGCAAAGTTCATTTATTTCACTAATGCAACTTAAAAGGTGAAACTAATATATGAGATAGACTCATTACATGCAAAGCAAGATAGTTCAAGCCATGATCTGTCATAATTGTGATGATTATGGCTTACAGCTCATGAAAACCCCAAGAACCCCAAATCCACAATCTCAAAAAAGTAGAATATTACATGCAATCAATAAAACAAGGATTGTACATAGAACAATATCGGACCTCTGAAAAGTACAAGCATGCATATGTACTCAGTACTTGGTTTGGGCCCCTTTTGCAGCAATTACTGCAATTACTTTTGCACGATATTCTAATTTCACCTGTAAATTAAAATAAAGATTTGCAACAAATAAATAAACCGAAGAACTCCATTGACTTAAGTTAAGATTTTGGTGTGAACAAGCCCTAATGTAATAAATGACTTTATATATGACGCTCTGTGTCTACACCTGTGCAGATCACTTTCTTGTTTCAGACTTTTCCTTGTGTGTCTGCTTGGATATCATTAGGGTGAGATGGACTATGTCAGTGCTCCCCAACCTTTTTATCGCCGCGGACCGGTCAACGTTTGATAATTTTACCGTGGCCCGCTGAGGGTGGGACGTTGATTGTTTATATTTTAGATTGTTTTGATTTAATAATTTTAATTTAATTGTATTTAAACATGCCTTCAAAATAAAATACAGTTACACCAAAAAATGAAAGCGTTACTGCAATATATTGCATGACCGGACTGCACTGAGACTGTGTGGCCCGGTACCATTTGGTTGGGGAACACTGGACTATGTGATCACTCCAATATTATGGAGAGTTTATGTGGCTCTCAAATGATTGTCCCCAAGTCTGGACAACTTGGACAGGCCGATTTGTCAGATTTGGCTATTTTGATTTAAAACCAAATCTCTTTCTCCACACTGGGGGTTCCTACCTCTGCCAAGTGGAAATCTACAGTTTTTGTTGATGCAGGACTCCCAAAAGGCACCCAGTGCTCAACTCCACTCAGTTAAAGGGTATCTATGGCCAAAAAATTTAAATAAATATGTATTTTTATACTGAATTTCCATAAGTTCTATCCCACTGCTAATAACCATATCCATCTAGAACAGAGGTACCCACAATTTTCTGTTTTAAGATCAAGGAGATCTACATCTGTAGATCACAAAAAACACATCTGTATTTTAAAAACAAACGCATTAAAATGCTTACTAGCACTACTGCATGCATCCTTTTATTGAATAAACCTAATAATTTAAAGCTGGATTGCAGTTTCTTGTTTGGGGCGGGGGAGGGGTTTGTGGCTGTGGTGCCGCACCGCCCCCTTCCGTCCCAGAACAAAAAGTTTTTTTTTACATTATGTTAGGAAACATTTATTATCACCCAATTTTTTAATAAAATATAAAAGACAGGGTTACATCGGGTAAATAGACACCAAACATGTCAAGCTTACAAATTGCGCGCACTCGCAAAAAAACACCATACCCAAAATTGACCATAGGCGACGCTTTAAAAGCTTTTACCGCTCATCAGTTTAGCGTTATCAGTGATTGATGACCCTAAAATTATTGCTCTCACTGCGACTTTCGCGGCGATATGTAACATGTGCGGCGTAATGGGCGCAATCGTCATTTTCGCAGGTATGCGCAACTGACGCATGTTTGCATGCGTATATGTATGGGGGGACTTTTAAAAATTTATATTTGTTTTTTTAATTCTTTATGTGTAACTTTAAAACATTTTTTGGGAAACTTTCATTTTTTTCATATTTTTTTTTTCCACCTAACTTTATTGCTATCACATAGGGGGCTTAGAAACCCCTCCTATGTGATAGCAAAAGATGTGACAGGTCCTCTTTATGGAGACATCAGGGGTCTCCAAGACCCCTAATGTCACCTAGGACCCCCGAAGATGCTGATGAAGCGGAGATCGGTTTCATCAACTTCTCTCCAGCGTCTAAAGCTGGAGAGTGACACAAGAATGCGGAAGTGATGTAACATACATCACTTCCGCATTCTTACATCGGAGAGGGGACCGGAGGGAGCTCGTGTACCGACCTCCCTCTGATCCCGTCAGAGTGGCACTGTGCTGGTTCCGGGCTCGCACCGGAGCCCGGGATCAGCGTGACAACGGGAGGAGGGGCCGCGGAGGGAGGGGGGGACACGGGCCGACTGCCCATTCAAGCGATCCGCCGGCTCTATAGCCGGCGGATCGCTTGTACGTTAACAGGCATCGCTGCCTGTTTTTAAATTGGCTGTATTTCCCGCTTGCGTGCGCCGCACGGCGCACGCTAGTGGGCGTGGCTGATCTGGCCCGCGGGCCGTAGTTTGAGGACCCCTGATTTAGGGGGTTATTCACTAAAGAGCTGAAGGATCCAGCCTCAGCTTCGGCTGAACCGATGGGCTGCTGTATGGGCTATTCACAATAGCTCGTACAGCAGCCGACTGAGTCGAAGTGACAGCCAAAGCGGAGAGAGAACTGCCTTCCGAAGGGCCAGCCGTTCTCCATACATATGACAGCTGGGCTGAGCCAGCCGTGATCTCACAGCTGGCTCCGCCCACTTGCAATGACAGATCAGCGTCCCCAAATGACCTAGTCAAGTGACATCATGGCTGGCTCCACCCAGTTGTTATTCATTGTCCGGGACCAGCTAGAAGACTCTGGCAGGTGCCGGCCAATAGGAAACAATTGGGTGGGGCTAGCTGTCACCGCTAGCTCTGCCCAATAGTTTTTTTTTCTTTAAAATACTTTTATTTCACTATATTTTATCATTTTTAAAATAATTTGTCAACCTTTTTCCCCCCATTCTTTGCACTTATTTCCTATTCCGCTCGGTACCTCTGAGGCATTCGGCTATTCACTTACTGCCGTTCGGCCCCTACGAGAATAGGGGCGAACGGCAGCAAGTGTACTGCCGGAGCTTCGAATCGGCTGAGTTGAAGTCCCTCTGCACTTCAGCTCAGCCGCAGGTAGCCGATGTACGGCTGAAATCAGCCGTACTGAGCCGGAGTAAATAGCCGCATGTCAATCGGCTCACTTCACCTCAGCTTGGTTATTCACTCGGCTGCCTTCGGCAACTAAGTCAAATAACCCTGTTAATGTTTTGGTGGACAAGCATACCAAATATTTGTTGGAAAATGGTATTTATTAGTCAAAAATATTATCCTCCACTATTTTGCTTAGAACTGTGCAGTTGAAGCGTTCAGTGATGCTGCTGCAGTGAACTGAAGAGCTGCAGAACAGCTACTCAGCGCCTGGCTAAAGCTGGCCATACACCTTACAATTATCTGCAGATGTTCCATGGTCAGATGGAAAAAGTGCAACAGATTCCTCCATCTACACTTAACTGTGTGGATGGAGTAATCTCCACCTTGGCCAATCTGTTGCACTTTTTCCATCTGACCACAGAAAATATACAGATAATTGTAAGGTGTATTGGCACCTTAAGGAACTGAATGCACCTCACGATTTAAAATGATTTAACTGGTTGCTATAGGCAACTAAATGTACACAAGATTATGACACATCTCTCACGCATCAGCATTTGTTGACATGACAGATACCCTTTATAACATTCTTGTGGCGCATATACACTGAGTGGCCAGATTATTATGACCACCCCATCAGTACTTCTTTGGGCCACGAGATGACTTCGTTGGGCCGCCTCGTGACTCCACGAGATGTTGAAAGGTGATGCGAGGAATCTGACACTGCACTGTAGCCCTTCTGTTGTCTTGTACCAGTCTTGCCACTCTCCGTTCTGCCCTAACAATGACTAGTCGCTGACGGCCATATTTCGCACATTCAGACCCAGATTTTCGGCTCACAGTCCAGCCTTTAAACACTTTAACAACAGCTGCTCTTGAACATTTAACAAATTCTGCTGTTTTGCTGATACACGCTCCATGGCTCCGAGCGCCAACAATCATCCGACGCTCAAAGGCTGTTAAATCGCGTTGTTTACCCATATCTTCAGAAAAAAATCACCGCTACTGTCGTGGTAAACAACCTGCTTCCCTATTTATAATGGTCTGGCACTCTAGCAACTTCAGCGTGGAATTATAGCTAATTTGCCTACAAACGTCAGGTGTTCATAATAAACTGGCCACTCAGTGTATACAGTATATATACTGAGAGGGGAATTTATCAAAACTAGAGCAGACAATATCTGGAGCAGCTGTGCATGGCAACCAATCAGCTTCTCTCTTTCAATTTCAAATCTTAAGTGAACAAACTGAAGAGAGAAGCTGATTGGTTGTCACGGGCAACTGCTTCAGATTTTGTCTGGTCCAGTGTTGATAAAATCCCACGACAGTATACACATATACAATAATTGTAACTGTCAAATATTTGAACATAATTGTCAATATATAAACCAATAGTGAGATTAGAGGAAACCACGCATGCATTATGCCTGTAAGACCCATCTTTCCTTCCTCGGCTTTAGTTGTAAACACACAGGCCGATCAGGTCATTGCACCTTCACAACAGCAAATCTAATAGACACAGTCATGTGAGATCAGAATGAATGGAGCTCTATAAGCAACCGTTAACTAGCTCACTTCCTCTTCCCGCATCACTCGTTCTTCCAGTTCCTTCTCCATCCCTTCCCACAGCCAATCACCTCTCACTTTCAGCTCTACTCTCAACCAATCGCAGCTATCCACGAAGAGAAGCTCCTGGAAGGTCTCCTCCCAGCAAAGGACTGGCAGCTGTTACACCCACTCGCTGACCGCCAATGGGTCTTAGTCCCACCGGAGATGCGCTTTGCAGCCAATCAGGATGATAGTGGGGCGTGTTTGCTGAGGGGGGGTTTGCGTGAACCGCTTCCTCCCTTTTAGTACGTAGCTCCTCCCCTTCTGCTTCACTCCCGGCAGGACACGTGAAGGCATTTGGTGCAGCGGCGGTAACGGGCGGGTGACTGTGGAGGACAAGCCTGTGCCGGTGGTGAGCGGGTCACTAAGGGGGCGGTGTGGGCTGGCAGAACGGTGGGCCTATAGCGCGGCAGGCCTGACTCAGGGATATACCGTGTGTGTGGTGCGCTGTAGGCCTCACCCCTGTTATTGTCTATGTACAGTGTAGGGATAAACATGCCATTTTCCAGTCAGGAGTTGTCATAAATATTAACTAGTCATATTCTGTTATGCCTGATATGGGCCGCCTTGGATTACTGTACGCTCACATTGCTACACCCTTCATAATGGGCTTCACTCAGCAGGTTAGCTTGTAAAATGAATAAGACATTATACAGAAGGCTGATGTGTGGAAGGTACAGCTGGCTCCCATTGTTGGTACCAGACCTCTTCCACCTAGAATTCTTCTATATTGGTTTGGTAAATAGGCCTGTTGGGATGAATGGCACTTGTCACAGCTGATGCAGTACTGATGGCTGCCATTGTCTGGCTCCATGTAGAAGTCCTAGTTTCAGGTCAGGTACCTATTGCCTAGCTCTGTGTAGGGGTGCTACCAGGTCAGGTGCCCATTTCCTGGCTTCCTGCAGAGGTTCAGGTCAGGTGCCCGTTTCCTGGCTTCCTGCAGAGCTTCTAGTTCAGGTCACATGCCCGTTTCCTGCAGAGGTTCAGGTCAGGTGCCCATTTCCTGGCTTCCTGCAGAGGTTCAGGTCAGGTGCCCGTTTCCTGGCTTCCAGCAGAGGTTCTAGTTCAAGTCACGTGCCCATTTCCTGGCTTCCCGCAGAGGTTCAGGTCAGTTGCCTGGATTCCTGCAGAGGTTGTAGTTCAATTACCCATTGCCTAACTTCCTGTAGAGGTTCCAGTTAAATTGCCCATTGCCTAGCTTCCTGTAGAGGTTCCAGGTCTGGTGCCCATATTCTGGTTTCCCGTAGAGGTACTACCGGTAGTTCCAGGTTAGGTGGCCATTGCCTGGCTTCCAGTAGAGGTGCTAGTTCCAGGTCAGGCGCCCGTTGCCTGGCTTCCTGTAGAGGTTCCAGGTCAGGCGCCCGTTGCCTGGCTTCCTGTAGAGGTTCCAGGTCAGGCGCCCGTTGCCTGGCTTCCTGTAGAGGTTCCAGGTCAGGCGCCCGTTGCCTGGCTTCCTGTAGAGGTTCCAGGTCAGGCGCCCGTTGCCTGGCTTCCTGTAGAGGTTCCAGGTCAGGCGCCCGTTGCCTGGCTTCCTGTAGAGGTTCCAGGTCAGGCGCCCGTTGCCTGGCTTCCTGTAGAGGTTCCAGGTCAGGTGCCCGTTGCCTGGCTTCCTGTAGTGGTGCTAGTTCTAGGTCAGGTGACAATTAGGTTTCCCAGGGCAGGAGCCCATTGCCTGGCTCCCTGTAGCAAATCATAGGACAGCTGTCCATTACCTGGCTCCCTATATTGCTGGGACAACTTGCCGCCAAGTGTGATCCTTCCAAGTTGTGCTCTGCACTGGACCATGCTCTGTTTTCTGGCGTCAGTTGCAAGTAATACGTGAAATGGGTGTTGTAGTGTGACAGGATCTGTCATGTTCATATGTGAAAGGTCATTTTATCTAAAACCCACACAGGCATGGTCTATGCTAGTGAGTTTGCTGCAGGTCAATTAGAGGCCAAAACAGAAGGCTGATGGTACATTTATGTTCACCAGGCAGCAGTGCACATAGACTGCATTGTGTTGTATAAAATCCCCCACTCCTAGTGCCAGCTGGGATGCATTGATCCAGCACCAGTCAGAAAAGAAATGTGTTCTGGATTGCTAGCTCACTAATCAGGGATGCAAGGACATGGATGAGCGTCCTGGTGCATGCATCTTTAAAGTACATTTAAATCCAAAACTTTTTAATTTTGGATAGCGTAGAAAAGATTTAAAACCTGTGAGGTTTTTCCTCCTCTTGTCTCCCATTTAGGAAGTTCTCTTCACTTCCTATTCCTTAGATACAACAGGAGATTGTCTTCAAAGTAAGGGAAATCCTCTGTTAGATTGTCACTGCAAGTGTCCGCATTGGAAGAGTTCCTCACTATTTCTGTTCGGGTGCCAGCTCATCATTTTGGCTCTTTCTTCATGTTCAGTCCTGGTAACTGTGACAGCTAATGAGTGATTTTTGCCCAGCTAAAATGCACAAAAAACAACCTGGCCTTCCCTACCAAAACAAAAATAAGTGTACATCAAAGCAGCAAATGCTCGAATTTTAATAGGTAACAGGACCTTTACCCAAAATAATTCACATCCAGTGTTTTCTGCGAGAAGAGCTTTTTGTCTGATAGATTCAAAACCCTGTAAATGATTGTATCAGATGCAGACGACTCGTGTACATCTGTGCCATGGCCTGCGCAAAAGTGGGCACTGTTTGACAGTTTGCTTAAGCTGTGCATACACTGGCTGCAGGCTGAATGAGCCAAAAAACGCTTGATTTCCCCCCTTGCCAGTCTACTGTATTCTGGCAGAGACGGTCTGCCATTGTCAGAATACCCGAACCGTGACTGCAGCTGATTGGCTACAGTCACTTTTAGGCAGAGTTTATTTAAACCGGCTCCTGAAAAGTCAATTGAAAAATGGACTCCTGAGGTGGCCACACACACCTTGAATTTTGGCCGAGTCAGTGGGATTATGCTGAGATTCAACCAGTGTATGGCCAACTAATAAAGTACAGCAGGTTGTCTTTGGAGACACTCTGACGGCAGGCCGCTATAGATTATTACTGGCAAGTGCATAGTAAAGCAGACGGAAATCGCTGTATGATTGTAAATAAAGCCTGGCCTTGTGCAGGCCATGCCTTGGAGACCTGCACGTAAGTGTTTAGTTTCAGTGTAGTCTTCTAGTGTGCTTAACATCCATCATAATGCTTATTAGGACTTTTGTTGTTTTAAAGATTCTTTTCACGATCTGTTATTTTTCTTCCAATCCTTTCTTTTTAAATATTTTGTATAATTCTGGTAATGTTAAAATAGGCTTGTTTCTTACCCTTCTGTTTTATTGGACGTATCAGCGCAATCTAAAAGCAGCATAGATGTCTGAGCTATCTGCATTTTATTGTATCACTGTTCTGTGGTTTCTCTGTGGTCGGTGGTAAAATTTGCATTAAAGGTTACGTATTTGCACAAATGTGAACAAACAGCAACATATACCACCTTACAAAGTGTCTTAAAGGACCATGATCATTAAACCTATTATGTTTTGTAAACTGTTTCAGTTTATAAATTCCTTTATTTTACAATCCTTAATGTTATTTAAAAAAAAAAAAAATGTCTCCACATTTCAATGCAGGCCAAGCTACCCTGACAAGTGACTGTGACAGCGACGGTGGCAAACTATAGAACTACTGGGGGTGCTTGAAACAGTGATTTTATTACCTTTTTATAAGGCAGTGGTGTGACCTTTGCCCATACCATTGCACTGCTTTTCAAGAAAAAGAATTATGCGGCACATTTATAATGCACTATTGTGTTCTTTAGAAATCTGCTTTCCGCTTCATTTGCTTGGGACTCCAAAGCAAGAGAATCCCCATTCATTTTCGCAAATTGTGGGAGGAGGAGAAAGCATGTCATGACAGGTCATGTGATAGGGCTCTCCTATGCGGGAGTGTTCTCTGCAGCATTATGTAGGACATGACAAGTCTCCCCCACTGCACTCTGAATTTTATACATCTTAAGCTGCAGTGTGGTGTAATTACTCTGATGTCCTGCACTGTACACAAAGTGAATCCTGCATCCTTATTTTTTGCAACTGCTCAACCACCACTGGTAATACCGTGTTTCCCCGAAAATAAGACACTGTCTTATTTTTTTTCTGGCTCAAAAAAACACACTAGGTCTTATTTTCGGGGTAGGTCTTATTTTCGGGGAAACGGGGTATTATAGTTTGTGCCCACTTCTGTCACAGTGACTTGCTACCTCATAGTTTTTTAGTAAACTTAGACAAATATAAAGACCAGTGAAAGGAAAACATATATTTGAATACAATTATATATATTATCCTCATGAAGTTATCAAAATACACTATTTGTCACCACAGTGGTCCTTTAAGCACCATCCCAATTTGTTTTGTAATATGCTTACAATGTGGTTTTCTCATATAGCATCTATATACACTTGGGGCTTTCCTAGTAGTCATTATCAGTTTAAAACGCATGTATCTGGCTGCATGTAAGTGACCTGGGCGGTTGGGCAAAACTGCTTTCCTGCTCTTCATTTAGCCCTGCTTGCCCCCAGCAGGGCTAAATGTAGAAAAAGAAAAATCCTGCCCTGCTGTGGGCAAGCAGGGCTAAATGTAGGAAAAAGAAAAACCCTGCCCACTGGCCAGAACTGCATATCCCGTGCGTCGGGCAATAGGAATTTCACACCCCTGTGAATATGGAGGGGGAGTATTGTAGAGCTTTAAGCCCAATTTAAGGTCGAAGTTCATTCAAGTTGAGTCTCTGAAGGCACTTTAGGCTGGCTTAAAGGAATGTGGCGTCTCCCTTTTATGACTGCTTTGCAGGGTAGACATTTTATATCCTTTTCCTCTGCACAATCTTACTGCAAGTGTCACTTTGCTAAGCTTATGAACAGTGATTTTTACCTCCTGTCAGCGGTCGGAGCATCATGTGCCCCAGGGTTATAGCACAGGAGGGAAGTTCTATGGATATACAGCTACATCATGCATGTAGGTGGAGCTTAGTGGGAAGAGATGCATTCGGTAAATGTTGCTTAAAAGCTCAACTCCAGGCATAAAAACTTTTCATATAAATAATATATTCCTTAATAACCACAAAGGGTATAAATGCACTTTGTGTGCACCAAAGGCCTTTTGCAAACCCACATATAACCCTGTAAAGGTAGCGGTGACATCATCACTGTGCTGCACATAGCCTGAGCAGAGCTGTGGGAGGGATCCAACAGGCTTCACCCACTGCAGGGTGCTTGCAGGAAACCACAGGAGCGGACAGGGACAAGACTAGTCACCCAGCACAAGGAGAGAGTGCAGCAGTGCCTAGTCTTTATTACAGAAAATCCTTGCACAGATCTGGAATAAATACAAAAAGCAAAC